AATAGCAGAATTCTACATTTTGATTATGTCATACTTCTCATAATTTGATAATTGTTGGAATATTGTCCCCCGCATACCTATTTCGTTTCACTATACTGTTTAGTTGTTTGATCTTTTTTCTCCTTGCAGTTGAAAAATTCTTTCATGTTTCGGGGAAGAAAATTTTCTTCCCCCCTTGCCGGAAGTGAAAATCTTCATCCACACAGGCACGGCAAAGGAGGAGGAAAGTATGATGATAAAGGCTATGGTTAGCTGGTTTGAAATAATTAAGAAGTGTGTGAAGTATAATCTTCGTCCAAGTGATTTACTCAATTCTCATTGATCTCTTTGTCTACTACTCGAAATACGTGTTCTTCTTGTTCTATTCTACCCAATTTTTCTTCAATAATTAACCCTATGTACACTGTTGTACTACCCTAGTTTTTCTGACACGTACCCCGTCATGACACTGGAACCACTCCCCCCCGACGACTAAACCCCAATATACCTGGTCATGGAATCCCATAAATTTTCACTGGGCAATACGAGCAAATCCCTGGGGAGGTTCGGGCGGATGTGACAGCTTATTTGCATATTCTCACTTCATGGGATTGTCCTCGCCTGCAGAGGGTAACCCCCCTGACTAATATGCCCCGAAACGGAAGGGATGGCTTTTGCTCAGACGAGGGGCGTCTCCTAGGCCTCAAACCGCGCTAGGTGTTACCGATTTATGAGACCGGAGCAGCTTCACCACTCCCCTATGTCCACGGCTAACGGCATACGACAGCGGTGTTTGGCCGTTATTATCGGGCTTGTTGGGGTTGACCTCTTCTCGTCCGAGTAGTATTTTCACCGCTCCTTCATGCCCACAACCAGCGGCGCCTGACAACGGCGTTCGGCCATTATCATTTTGACTGTCAGGGTTGACCTCTTCACGCCCGAGCAGTATTTTGACAACTCCCTCATGCCCACTCCAAGCGGCAAGGGAAAGTGGTGTTAGGCCGAACTTATTTGGCCTGTCGGGGTCAACTTCTTCACGCCGGAGTAGCATCTCCACCACTCCCTCATGCCCGTTCCAAGCAGCAAGTGAGAGCGGTGAATAGCTGAAATTATCTGGCTTGTCAGGGTCGACCTCTCCCTGTCCGAGCAGGATTTTCACCACTCCCTCATGTCCAACCCGAGCAGCATAGGAAAGCGGTGTTCCTCCGTATTTATCTCTCTTATCAGGGTTGACCCCCTGCTTCTCGAGCAGCATTTTCACAACCCCCTCGTGTCCATTCCAAGCAGCAAACGAGAGCGGCGTTTGGCCATCATTTTCTGGCTTGTCGGGACTCACCATTTCCCACCCGAGCAGTACTTTGAGCATTCCTTCGTGCCCGTTATTAGCCGCCCATGTTAGTGGTGTATACCCCAAAAAATCTCGACCGTTGATATCGCAACATTCCATCTCTATCAATGCCATTACAAGCTCAACAATTCCGAAGAATGCCGCACAGTGTAGTCCATTGAACGGAGACCAAGTAACGAAATTCTGCGAATACAAATGCCTTACCTGCGCTAAAAGCAATCTCGTGGATATGTGGTTATCATACTCCTGAAAGAGCTTCAGCGCAAGTGACTTCGCACAGTGTGAGAGTTCCCTCCTCGCATGGGCCCCCCAGTATAAAGAACAATATTCTAGAAATGGTAGGTCCTGGGTGATAGGAAAGGGGTCGGCCGAAAGGGCCTTGACACTTTCGGAATTCAGATAGGTCAGGCAAATTTCGGTCATTGTCAAGTGAGGTTGACTGAAGATATCGGAGTGAGTGGAAAAATACTCTTGGAGAGTAAAGTGGATCAGTCGCACAACCGATGCCTCCTTATCCACAGTAATAAGCCCTTGACAGCAGACTACCAATGTCGAAATAGAAGGAACGTTTCTAGCGTTGAAATCCGTGGATCCCAACTCAACTGCTAGAGCGTGGCAGAGCTCATCCGCCTTCAACGGTCGTTCCGCATGACTAATCCACATCAAAGCTGCAATCCCGAGTCTCGGTTTATCCCCATTCTGTGCCTTTATCCGCTCTATCGTTGCACCATAAACGTCTCCCAACCCCGACCCATCTCTCATTTGGCTAAGCGTTTTTCGCCTCCGATATACCGTCGATTCCTGCAGGATTGCCGCGATATTTAAAGAAACTAGTAGAAACCTAGATATATCTATTAGCAGGCTTCGGGGGGCGGGGTTTCAGGTATCACTGCCACTACGTACATTTCCGATAAATTTTCGGGAATCTGTTGCAGAATCTCCGCCTTTAGACTTTCGTCCATGGCCTCTGGAGTTTCGTCTTCATCTAGCCTAACTCGCAGGTATCTGGTGATATCCGCTTCTCTAGGACCGACGGATGCACTTATCACTCGCCCAACAAGACGCCTTTCGATTTCAGCCCGAATATAGGACCTTCCGGTCATAAATACCCGAGCGCCTGGGGACTTCTCGAGGATTGTTTCTAGCGAATCTAGGAGTTTGACTCGTTGCGCTGCCGCACATTCGTCCAGGGCGTCAATGCATGTGAATGTGCTCTGCGAGGATGTGATGGCCTGAAGCATCTTCACGATATCAGGAAGTTGAGGGGCCCGCCCACCAATGACACTCTTCTGCGCTTGGAATGCCCGCGATATTTCCTCTGGAATCCTTTCCATTCCGCTCACCATTTGTCTCAGCAATGAACCCAGCATACTGGTAGCAGACTGCTCCCTTCGCGCCGCAAACTCAAAGTAAAAACACGTAACGGCGGTGTTTTGTCCTCCGACCTCATCGCACAGCCGGTCCACTACCAGTGAACTAACATCACGGCTTGTTAGCACTGGCCCCTGTTCAGCTCTCCTGCTGAAATGATCCTTGTTACCTGATAAATGTCTTGCCGACCCCCGGATCTCCATAGCAAAACAAGACCGGCTTATCCCCTTGACCTCCACCTTCCCAGCTCCGGTCATACCATCTCCCGAACTCCTCGGTTTTCATGACCCATTCTCCCACATCCTTGACACGGCGCTCTTGAAGATCTCGGTGCCGTAACTTGGGCTCCAGGGGTGATAGCCAGGTTAGGAGTTGAGAGCGATCATCAGCAATAGTACAATTGTTCCACACATTATTAAAAGCGTTCGTATTATTAAAGGAGTTGCAATTATATCCGATGGTAGATTGGGACATCTTCTGTTCTTTGCTGCTGATACTGTTATAGATTCGAAACTGGTTGCTATAAAAAAAACACCGTGTAGGCGGGGGTTACGGCGTGGTTGGTCGATAACATTCGCCAGAGTTAAAGCGTAGGGGGCCGAAGATGAATGAAAGCTGGAGTCTGCTAGTACGAGTTCTTGGACCTGGCATACCTTAAGTGCCGGTAACTTGTCTGAAAATACAGCTTGTGCCCCACACCCACTCCGTTAAATCCACCATCGGGGATTCAACAGAAATTATGGCCCAAACCACATTAGGCTTAGCAGTGTATGTTAACGAGGTGACGAATACCAGTTAATGAGATCCGGCTAGCTTAGCCTCCCCAAGCTATACTGCATTTGGATAACACACTATTCCTTCTCGGGATGTCACGTCACTGATCGGAAGGATCCGACTCCGATCCCACATGATGGATTTAACGAGTAAATACGGTACAGTACCGGTATTGCCGAAGAATGGTCCAATTGCTCCACTCCAGAGGTTTGTAGCCAAAATCACTCAAATTTCGTCTTGTTGATTGGGAAGCAGCTACTTCTGTTGTGTAGCCAGCGCATTGCAGATGCCCCTCCCGATAGATGCCGGGAGGCGTAATATTGTGGCGTTGGGCTTTCAGCAGTGTTGGTGTGGGTTCCACAAGGAGCCTTGTAGTCTCCCAATACCTACAACAATATCTCCTATACTTATACTACCAAAACTCTTAGAAAATTTCTTACCGCCCCCATCAGTATCTAATACAGGGATAACTAATGCACCATCTTAGCATTCTTTAGTAGTGATGAGAGCAGGTACCATCATACAGACTGTAATTGACAAGAGTCTAAATCTCGCACATCTGCGGAGTTGTAGTACTTAACAAAAGCTTCTTATTAATCTGTGTCTCAAACGACATCTATGGTTGGGGGGGGGGTTTCCGGGAGTTTCAGCAGCCTAGAAGACAGTATCTTCTCGACAATTTCTGTTCGTTAGAAGTTTCAAGCTCCATCTCTACGGCATTATCACCTCCCAGGTTTTCCCCGTCCTAATTATGAAGGTAATTACAGGGCTAAACGGCGGTCGGGCTGCGACGACTGTTCCCTACAAGGCCGTTCCCGGGGCAATACCGTATTTTCCTTAACAGTTTTTTCTTTATTTTGGCGCCTCATGGTACTGGTACTATATGTCATCCTCTTTCATTTACCCTGCTTATCTTGTGGGAGTATCGGAGCTTTATCCCAAGCATGAGGGACTGTAGGAATGGAAGTAATCGGACAGGTTGTGATTGTATAAAATGTATTTCTAATATGTACTGCAAACCGGTCCTTTCGTACTTTTGTGTGTCTGCCCTGCCAGCTGATTGGTTGAGAACCTATACCCCTAACCCTCTCTCAGTGTTGCATGGCAACCATTTCA